TTTTTTGCTGGAAAGAAGTGCTTGTAAAGTCGATATATGATGTATGAAATCGACGGAATATATATATAATACAACATTATTGTTGTTCTAATACGAGTTTAGCGTTTATCTGCTCGAAGAGAACCGAACACGTGTCGACGATGATGGTGCAAAAAAACAAATGACACACATACAGATTTTTCTTTTTTGCGTTCTTTCTCTATACTGCTTCTTGACTTTTAGTTACGAGCAACTCGATAAGAACGAGAATAACATAAATACTTAACGGAGATAATAACAAAATACATGTATGTATGTGTGTTTCGATAATATCTCATGAAAATCAATGGCATCACAACTCTATTTCTTGAGGGTGTGGGTGTGAATACTTTGTTCATCTAACACCCACACCCTGTTTCTTCACGAATAGACAAAAGTATGATGAAACTCAATGTTATATTCAATTTGTTCTTTTTGCTCACTAAATAAACTTTCCGATGTTCCAATTTTTGATGTGTCATTTTTGTCACTGATTCCATTCATGTTCACATCCACCTTAGACTCCACCGCATATGTGTCTGTATAAATATGAGTTATGACTTATATAAAACGTTGTCTGATTCGTTTCACTTGGCTGGAAAAAAAGATTTTAGTAAGTATTCGAAAAGAGCATCTAGTCGAAATATTATTTTTTTTGTATAGAAAATAGAGAGAATATAATATTACTAACACAATAAGACAATAGTATTTATTGAAACGCTTTAATGTTCTCTTTGAGCCATTCTTCAACTGTGTGTAATGGTCGACCAATGATAATGGATATTTCTGGAGTAACAGCGTTAGACGCATCTTTCGGAGCTGGAAATGTAAAATTGTATGCCATCGAGTGTGTTATACCGCGAGCAGTAATTGTTTTGTAGAAGTCTTCTAACGATTTTTGTTCATATGTAATAGATTTACCAAGCACTTTAGTGAAAACAACAGCTCGCTCTTCATTAGTCATAGCCTCTCCACACAGTTCATACACATTACGATCATGTTTCTCCACGGATTCACTCAAGACGACCACAGCACAATCAGAAATATCTATTCAATGAAAAAGAAAAACATACGAATATAGTTACTCTTTCTGTTTACCTCTCGAATCGATCCAAGTTGTTACTGACGAAGGCGATGCGCAGAAGACAAGTTTGTTTAAGTGTTTGACAGGATGGACATCAGTCATCAATTGACTGCTCATGAATCTTGTAGGACGAAGTACAACAAGTGAACGTTGTTCAGGTTTGTCATCGGCAAGTGTCCATAGTTTTTCTTCAGCTATTGTATGCATGTATGCAATGATACCCTTCTTACCAAGTCTGCTGACAGCGGCTGAAGAAAGATCAACAATTTGTCGCACACCCTGTTCATAAGCAATCTTGCCGAAAGTGCCTTTGACTTGACTCATGTCTGTTGGTTTGCTGCCAATAGCACTAAAGAGAAGAAAAAGACGAGTATGTCCTTGAATTGCTTTTGTAAACACATCGACAGATGAGTAGGTACCGACGACAATTGTCAAACGACCAGTCTTGAGTTCATCTTTGAATAAACCTTCAGCTTTTTTCTCGTCTCGTACATAAGCTGTTGTCTGAATTCCATTTTTGATAAGACCACGAACAACACCACTACCAATATCTCCACTTGCTCCAGTTACAAATACACGTTCTTCGCTTGATGACATGATGATGAATAAAATGAAGAGAAAAATGTTTCACTCGTTCTTTTATAAATGCGAGAAAGTATACTTTGAAAGGAACAAAGAAAAAGTGCGGCATTCATGTAACTAAAGTACGATGGTGTACGTCTCGTACGAACACACGTGGTCGTGCTAGAACGAGAAACAAAAAATTACATGACGTAGTTCGTCTGAAAGAGGAAAAAAGTGAATTCATTTAGATCATCAATAATTATGTATAGAAAAATAACATTCACAATTTCAATTTTGCTTCTTTGTGTATTAAACAAGTCAACACAAGATAAATAAATAACAATAATAAATATCTTTATATTTTTTATCGTATAAAATATTTTAATGTATTTTTCTATTTATATAATGCATTGTAATTTAGTGACATATCATTAGACTAAAGAAATCTTTTCTTCTATATTCAATGATAGACAGTTTTTACATCAAGATATTGAGTTTATAGTATAGAATGCTGTGCAATATATTATCATATATTAATCCAAAACTAGTTGAAAGGTATAATTGTATGAAATTGATGATTCGAAATATAACCATTTTTTACAGTATATACAACAAAGGAGAACAGCTGAATAGGAAACCGCTAATAACTCTTAATCACTCCTAATCATTATTGATCACTCCTAGTCATTACTAATCATTGCCAATCATATATAATCAAATAATTCGCTGTTTCCCCCTTGTAGCGAACACGCAATATGTATTTTTCATATGAAACTATTTGACTCACCATTAATCATGATGTAGCTCATTCACAATCATTCCTCAGAAATCTTTTTTATTTTGTAGAACGATAGTCAGATTAACAAGAATTTTATATGTTGATTATAAATCAAGGGGGAAAAAGCGATTTATGATTTTTCTGATTAAAACTGATTTTTGTGATTAAAAATGACTTAAGCTGATTTTATGATTTAAATTGAGTTACGGTGATTTAAAACTCACGTAAATTAAGCACCACAACATGACTTTACGGTGGTTTAAGATTATTATTTCCCTAGAAATATACATGGGGCATATGAATGCTTGTACTCGTCTTTTATTCAGCTAATCTATCAAGTAATTACTGAAGTTAGCAATCAATTGGTACATATGAAAAGCTTAGATATGTACAAATATACATGTCATAGTTTATTTAATATATGTAATCTATACGTATATAAGTTTAGAACAAAACATTTAAAATGAAATGTTTTTTCTGCATTTTGAGTTACAATTCAATCAAGATTATGTATAATGATCGGAAGATGAGCTGAATGTTAGTTAACTATGTCAGTTGAAGAAATAGAAAAATGAAACGATCATTTTTTGTTACACACATACATTGTCTATCTGTGAAAAATAAACGATATAAAAAATTTATATCTTTTGAACTCTAATTGATCGATCAGATGATAGTATACGCTTTGTTTTGGAAAAATACCAGTTTGCAGCGTGTTTGTGCATAAATTTCTTTTGTCCATTCGCTTCGACAGAAAAAAAAACAATGCACTTTCATTGCTGTTGATAGAGTCAAAGATGCGCATTCCATGAAATGTCGAATTCAACACATCAGGAAGAACATCAGTATCCGATTCATCGCTTAATATCGATTCGTCGTAGTCATCAATATTATTATTCCCATTAGACTGCTTTTGACTCAAATATTCTTCATACTCGTCGTCTACGTCTTGTTTACTATTATTTGATGGATGATCTTTCTGGGTAAAAGTTTTACATTGTGATCTTGTTAACTTCATAAATGTAATAGTATAAAGTTGAATTCAAGTATTCATTTAAGTATTCAACTATTCAGTTAT